GACTGATCGAAATTTGCAGAGGGGTTGTAGGTTGATGCCCCTATTATTGCAGGGTCCTGGGGCTGGCCCCTTCTCAAGTTTCCCAATTGAGGTGATGGGATATAACCTCCTTGGGAGCTATTTGTAGAGTTTAAAGGCCGACCATTTTTGTGGTATTTTGATCTACATTCCTTTGCCCAATGGAATCCTTTCTGACATCGGGGACAAACGGTTTTTGGAGGATTAATATTATTCCCTAATGTATTTTCAGGCTGTCGAGGAGCTTGCCATCTGGCCTGAGTATTATTATTTTTGTTTGGGCATTCTCTGCTAAAGTGCCCAGATAAGCCACAAGAGTAGCAGTTCATATTTCTTTTATTACCTGTATTATTGCTGGCTTGTCCTATACCCTGTACATATTGAGGGTATGTCTCCCCTTTGAGAGCTGCAGCTATAGCTACACCCTGTATAAATGCTGGACTTACATCAGCACACTGTTTTATAAAATCATTTATAGTTCCTGTTCTGCGAATCGGCCTTAATAAAGCCTGACAGGCATTATTAGCATTTTCAAAAGCCAGTTGTTTGATTAGGATATCGGCTGCCTTTTTGTTATTGATTACTCTCTTGACTGCCTGTATGAGGCGAGAAAGGAAATCCTGATATGGTTCCTCGACCTTCTGTTTAACCTCTGTAAGGGTGGTTGTTTTTCCTGCTGTATAAGGTAGGGATTTCCAGGCATTTACTGCACAACTGGTTACTTTAATAAGTGCCTCTTTGGGCATATACATTTGCTCCTGAGCCGTGTTAAAATCACCTTCTCCTAAGATCATGTCTAGGGTGATTCCTCCTCTGGAATTTTTGCTAGTGGCTACAGCTCTCTTAGCAAGATCATCATATTCAGTTTTCCATAATAAGTAATCGCCTCCCGAGAGACAGGCTTTACAAACCTGTGACCAATCATAAGGAGTCATCCATTTACTGGCTAGGGTTTCTACCAAGGTTTGTGTGTAAGGAGCTAGAGGTCCATATTCAGAGCAGGCCAATTTTAATTCTTTAAGTACTTTGTAAGGTATAGGCTCCAAGGTGGGGTTTCTATTCCCACCAAACTCATTCTCATATGTAACTGGGAAGCAGAGTGAGAATTCAAGATCTCCATTAGCTTCAGCTTCTCTTATCGCCCTTTGAAATTAAGACATGGAGTTCATAGGAGCCACAGGACCTGGTTTAGGCTTCCTTTCTAATTTGGGGAGCCTGTTTTGAATGGGAGGGGCACTCTCCTCTCTACTGACTGGAAAGGACCAATGGTCATGTTTATGATATTTATTCTCCTCCCGATCAGTAGGCATAGCTAAATTGCTTTTAGATTGAGCTGAAGACAATGATGATGTATCCTCTCTGGGTGGAGCCAAGGGACTATTTAAATTTTGAGAAAGTTCAACCATTTTTGCCTCTGGTGCCAAGGTGTCACAGATTGAATCCCAGAGGGAAAAGTAACATGGCAGGACCTTCTCAGATCCATCGTGTTTCTTTAATTGCTTTCCTACTTCAACCCAAGTTTTTAAATTAACAGTTCCATCCTCTGGAAGCCATTGTCCGGCAAACACCATTTATGTGCCAGGTACTGTATTAAGTGCTCTACATCTAAGTGTAAGTCTCATTTCACATATATGGAAGCAGGCACAGAGAAGTAACTTGTTTAACACTACAGATTGTAAGTGGTAAACGAATTCAAATCAGCTCAAAAGCAGTCTTACCCCAAAGCCTATGAGCCACTCTGCTCTCCTGCCTTGTCAATCTCCTTGTGATGTAGAAAAACACTAAATTAAGTAGCTTGCCTAAAGTAAGATCATTATTATTAACTTGGGAGCTGGAATTTGAACCTGGGTCTCTGACACCAAAGTTTCTCTCCCAAATCCTTGGCCAGGCAACAAGGTCCTGTACTATACATCATGGCTTGCCAGGTTTATTCTCCCTGTACTGCCTTATCCTTTGCCCCAAATTAGACAATTTGCCTCTAAAGAGAAGCTGGGTTTCAATTTCACCTCTCTAGCTTAGAGCTGAAATGCAGCGCTGTGCTCACAGCTCAGATGTAACATTCTACTTGCAGCCCTCCCACTGCTGAGCACAGGCCCCTGAGAAATCCATGCCAAACAAACAAAAATTGTGTTCCTGAAGAGAGGGCGCCTTGAAGCTACTGGAACTAGATGCCTCTATTGCAGGAGTCAGACGCCTACAATTAGAAAAGTGCGTGAGTCTGAGAAGCAGAGATTAGCCTCTGGCACTAAATAACTGGCAGAGTGTTTGCATTGCATTGATTTTCCCATGTTTGTTCTCCTCCCTGACCTCCAGGTCTCTGAGTGGGTGGTGAGTCTCCCATCACCACCACCACCCCCTCAGGCTACGCACACACACTGCCTTGAGCAATTCTCAGCCAGAATTTCTGTCCCAGTCATACCAGCAACCAAGTCAACAGCCACCTGGGGAGATAGGGCTGGCTAGACCTTTTTGGGGTTTCATTCAAACCCAACCTATTTGAAGGTGAAGGGCTGCTGTGGGTGTGAAGAGACAGGGCCACAAATAAAACAAGGATTGTAAAGCAACCCTTCCCAGAATTCAGCAGTAACCTGGCCTATATCTTGGCATCCAGAAAAGTCAGAAGGTTCTTACTGAAAACAGGTAAGTTTTTGTGTTGTCTGACTGTATCAAGCTTAGAATTGGTAGGAAATTATCTTTTAGCAAATAAACAGTTGAAGAATAGTTCAGAGCAATCAGTGGGAAAGGGTCTTACCCAGGAGTGGGCAAACTTTTTGACTCGAGGGCCACAATGGGTTCTTAAACTGGACCGGAGGGCCAGAACAAAAGCATGGATCGAGTGTTTGTGTGAACTAATATAAATTCAAAGTAAACATCATTACATAAAAGGGTACGGTCTTTTTTTTTTTTTTTTTAGTTTTATTCATTTCAAACGGGCCGGGGCCCCCGGCTGGTCTTACCTCTCCTCTGCTGCTTTGAGTAGGAAGGTGGTAGGCAAGAGGAAGTAGCTCTCTAACTCGGGCATCTCAGCCAACATCTAAGTCGGGAAGCAGGTATTTCCTGGCACTGCTCGTGTAAGGGACTCATCCCTGGAGAGCTCTCCTTGTTCTGCTTATTAGAGGAAGGGAGAGATCATGGTCATTGGCCTTGCGTGCCTCCTTCACAATGTGGAGAAATTATGACCGCTGAAGAGCAAGTCTGTCTCAGGATAAGACTGACTGCAAAGTTGGATGCAGTGTCACTCTCCAGTTCGCTGATTCAAACATTTGTATTGAATGCCTCTATACTGGACTCCAGGATACAGTCCTGAGACTCTCCTCTCACGTGACTTATCATTTTGATGGGGTACAGCCAGTTAGACAACATGGGAAGAGCTAAATCTAAGTGCTAAATGAGGGTCACAGGAAAGGGCTCCTAGACAACATCTGAGGGACTTGAGAGGAAGCTAAAGTCCAAAGAACAATTTGTAATTCATCAGGTAGAGATGGGGAAA